CTTACAGTTCAAAACAAACTTCAAAGAATGGCATTTGCTTAATGGGTTCAGAATAATGAGGTATTGTTCAACAATGTTTGGTTTTCTGATGAGGCACACTTCCACTTGGATGGTGTGGTCAATAAACAAAATGTGCGATTTTGGGCGTCAGAGAATCCACATGTGATTCATGAGAAGGTGCATCATGCACCGAGAATTACAGTGTGGGTCACCATCTCAAGTCCTGGACTGCTAGGGCTATTTTTCTTTGAAGAGACTTAAGCAATGTTGCGCTCTACTTTTGTGCCTCACCTTCTTGCTACAGGTTTGCCGTTATAGACTCAGTGGTTCATGCAGGATGGAGCCAGGCCGCACACAGCGAATATTGTTTTGGACTTTCTGCATGACACTTTCGACTCGAGTATCATCTTAAACCGATTTCCTAATCGTTTTACATGTGAACAGAACTGGCCCCCGAATAGTCCTGATTTAAACCCATGTGACTACTTTCTTTCAGAATTCCCTAAGGAAAAGATTATTCCGGAAAAGCCGCAAGCAATAATGGAATCGAGAACACTAATCATTCAGGCCTGCAACGAAATAACCGAGGACATGTGCCGTTGAGTAATGAACAATATCACAGCTCCTGCTGGAGAAGTTGCCAGACGTAACTGTGGTCGTACTGAACACTTGATTCACAGAGGATAAATCTCCATGCAACGGTCTTTCTTTTGCATGTTTGATTCTAGTACTGTAATGGAAATAAAGATTTTATTAGTAGATTGGACCATTTCGTGCGCCACACTGTATATCATCAAAGTACCTCCATGGAATAACGAGATCAATGGGGGTGTCGATTTTAAGAAACGTCTGATCAACTAAAGCAGAGGCGATATGGATATTTCGGTCTCATATTGACGTTCTGTGGGATGACAAAATGAGAATGACTGCATGGAGAAACCACAAGCATCTAAAGACTCTAGTAACACTCACGGGGGTTGTTGGTAAAATTTCTACTTAAAAGTGCGTTATTCAATTACATATATGTCTCTAGCATTCTTTGATGCCTAGAGAACTACTCTAGGCACATATGGTCGTTACCATTATCGTTTTCACACTTTTAATAAAACGTATTTTGACGAAATGTGGTTTGAGCATGTGAATGTTAAGCAAAGGTTGGTAAGATAAGCAGGGATATTCTTTAAGCGTTGTTATTTGTTTCTGTATCATTTTCAAGTAAATAATCAAATATCGGGAAGCAAACTAATCGCTTAGAAGTGAACGATTCAATCACAAATCCGTCTGACATTCTTCGATGCTTGGATAAAACCTTTAGTTATACGGCGAAAATGAGCTGTGTTCTTGTGAATGGTTTATATTATTACGCCGTAAACGGATGGCGTATTTCCATTCGTCCGGCTACAGGATATCGCGGGAAAGCATCTTCCCTGCGGGCACATTACTTTCACTTTTTAGGGATTCCACAGAAGCGGCGACTTTATTTCCGTGACGATTAACTACTAAGTCTTCAGGAATAGGCTTTAGTACCATAGAGTTGGTTACATTCGCCTCTATTTGCACGAGGAGTGGGGCATGGGAACTGCAGATGTATAAACCAGGCCCAGAGCCCACGATTTAAAAGAGCAGAGCACCGTTTTCATCCCACAAACAAGAACACTGCGCCGCTGATAACGATTTGTGACCCTTGCAAATAGCGCACCTCGTTAAATACTCGTAACCAACTGAACATCTGCAAAACTCGCATCTTATTTTCCACAAGCATTCTTTTTGGCCGTCCGTAGTGATGAGGTATAAGTATTGATTTTTGACGCGTACTACAAGGCAATGGGGAGCCGGGATAGCGTAGTCGGTATAGCAACTGGTTACGGGCCGGACGACCGAGGGGTCGGAGTTCGAGTACCGGTAGGGTCAAGAATTTTCTTTTCTCCACGTCGTCCAGACAGGCTCTGAGGCCCACCAATCCTCCTATCCAATGGGTACCAGGGGCTCCTCCGGGGGTAAAGTGGCCGGGGCGTGGAGCTGACCAATCAACTCCAACTATTGCCGAGGACAAGAAAATATGGATCTATACATCCATTCCCCCAAACGTCTTCATGGCGTAGTGCTTAATTAGGTATTCTTTTTATCGCTATTGGGGTGTGACTAAGTCCCTTGTACTGCGGCCACTTCTGGCCTATTGTACCAGCCCCAGATGATAGGCGACGGTGATTGTGGAGCAATTGGTGGAATGAAGATTGGCAGGGGAAACCGAAGTACTCGGAGAAAACATGCCCCAGCGCCACTTTGTCCACCACAAATCCCACTCGACCAGACCCGGGATCGAACCCAGGCCGCCGCGGTGGGAAGCCAGCGACTAACCGCTTGAGCCATGGCGCGGCCGCTTTACTGGTAACTTTACCTTACTACAAGACAATTCTGAATCCAGAGCAAAATACAAACAAATCCAGTTTTAATCCCATATTTACATTAACGCTGGCCTTAACCGCATGCTGCTTTTACAATTTATGTTTTTCCTCTCAATAAGATATCAACGGTCACAAAATGTATTTTGTTGGCCAAACAAGAGCAGCGGAGGGTGAATAAATCACAGTTGGATGGACTGCAGAATAAGTACTAAGTCCTGGTGCTCTTTTGGAGGTTTCGAGTCGCTTTTGTAATCATGAAGAAGGGTGGATGAGCTGTTAGAAACGACATTTACAGACATATGACACAGGTGTAGAAAACGGCCCCCAACCAAAATAACATAACAATACTGAAGAAATGCGGCATGTATAGGAATGTAACGCGCTTGAAAATACATAAACCATCCTGAAAAGCATTTTAGCCTCTTGTACAATTAATACGGTAATACCAGATCTACGGACAATATTATGATGACTACTGCGTTACTGTGTACTGAATTCACTGGGCCACTGTCATGGCGCGATCTGCGACTCAAAAACAATCATCGTCGAAAAAAATAAAGGGGGGGGGGTATATTGGCACATGAAGTTGAAACCTTTAAAACCAAAGCTTTGGTTCGTGTCGTAAAGTCGTCGCGTTCGAAATGCAATCACTGCAGAACTCTTCATGTAGCAAATAAAGAAAAACCACACCTTCACAACAATTTTTACGACTAAAAACGGAGAAATTTGGGTTCGAACCGAAAACTCAATTAACCAGCCTAATTACTCAACAGACAAGGTGGAATACTCATTTCTGTAGATTTTTCTTTCCTTGGCACTACAGCCCCAGTGAGCCTAGGCCTACCTCCATGAAGTTCTCCGTTCACTTCGGTTTTTCTAGACCTTACACATTCGGTAGGGCTCCTTGGGCGGGTGATCAGCTCGTCGCAAGGCCTCTACCTGTACACAACACACAGAAAAACGCACACACACAAACTAAAGATCCATGGCCTGAGTGAGATTCGAACACACGATCCCGGTTTCCAAGCGAGCGAAGACAGTACATGCCTTAGACCGCTTGGCTACCGTGACCGGCATTTCTGTAGAATACAAACTATAAATAATTAAAGTAATACTTCTGGTACACCAATAAGATTCATTCTTCCCGAACATCGATTTTTGGAGGCAGGATGTGGGAATGGGCCGAGGACGGAACTGATTCTCAGTCGCATCTAATGGTGCGGTTTCATATTGGCGGCATTCAACATCTGCGTTCTGTCGCCAACGTACTGGGACAACGGCGGAGTTACAATGTTAGGGATGAGTTAGGTCTACAGGTTAATAACAACTTATTAAAGATTCCACTTTAGACTACGGTAACTAACGATATGTGCACACTGCAAGGATGGAACAAAATCGTGACCCATGAGAATAGTAGACTCGTATTGTGGGCCACACGGAAAAAAGAAAGGGATGACCCATTAAGTTGTCCCTGTGCTTAACTAATTAAGCACTACGCCATGAAGGTGTATGGGGGAGTGGATATATTTTCTTGACCTCGGCACTAGCACACGCCCCGACCGCTTTACACCCGGATAAAGAGCCCCTTGTACACACTGGACAGGAGGCTGGGTGGGCCCGAAAGCCGATGACCCAAAGATTAATCGATCAAAAAATATTTTAATGGGGATTGAGCGGGCCACCGCATGTTGTTGAGGATGATGGGGGGGGGGGAAATGGTGACTGTGTAAACGTTCACGCTAACAGCTAGCGAAATGGGTCACCTTGCGAGAAGTTCGTCGCATTTTAAGTTTAGATATTCCGCTATTGCTCTCATTCAATCCAACACGGCTAATTTGCTATGTAATAAACCGGTTTGCAAAGAATCATACGAGATACGTATCTCACATGTCCACTGAAACTATCATACAAGAACTGTCAAACTAATTTATGAAAACTAAAACAAAAAACATTTTATAAAATAGTTAGATTCTATCGTCCGGTATTTTGGAAAACAGAAAAAACAACGTTTCGGAAACTGGATCTGTTTCCGTCCTCGAGTGACGTGGCGGGAAAGACACCTACTCAGTTGGGTCCCTTAGAAAGACCTAACCTCAATCACTGGACAACCCCTGTCAGATTCACACAGCTTTTTAATCGCCTGGATTCAATAATTGAAGGCAATGCTGTTGTAATATTATGTATTTATTGCCTTTTGTGGCAATCGTGTAATAAAAGAGTCATGGGATTTCAATTTCGGGTTTGGTACAGCTGTAAGCTTATGGACAAGAATTTATAAAACGTATTAAATATTTCCGAAGAACGAGAGTACTTATCTGTACCCCAAAAGAAACTGGCACATAGTGTGGCTAGTAGTATAACATCCATTCATAAATTTATAATGCTTAGAAACCCAAGGAAATATTTACAAAGGAAGTCAGTCAAACCGGTTGTCGTTTAATAAAACTACACACGTCTAGACAAGGTGAAAGCGTGTCATGTACAGTGTCCCTGTTGCATAATACACGTACATGTAAATGCGAATCTTATTCCCATCAAAATCATTGCAGTAAAATAGCGATGGTTTTGTTATCGTAAATGAATGCAGGAACTTACCAGCTATCGCAAGCAGAAGTAATATCCACAGATCCATCACTCTCTCTTCCCAACGCCGGTCAAATTACTTCCTTCTTCCTCTTTGCGTTGATTCTCACCGATTGCGAAGTTACAGCGAAATGCAGGCACACACAAGACGAAGATAATGATAAAATGCCGAGAAAAATATGGTGAAATCGCACATCACTGAATCTAAGAAATTCCGGTGTAGGTATTTTTCATATATGAATACAGAAGGGAAGTTAAATATGCAATACTTATAAACTCGGAAGATGAAACGTCCTGTTTGAAGTTTACAACACTAGACGCTGTGTTCCTTAATTTCGTTATGGCAAGAATTCGTAGCTTATTGTTAGGGTGTATACACCCTTATATAAGTCACATAATTTACCAGTGCAATTCTCAGAACTGTATCAAATCACGTATTTACGAAACACTAATTTCGAAAGTGCGTTAACTCCTAAGCCCCTCTATGGGGAAAGGGGGTATATTTAAAAGGAACGGAATGGGATTATGGGTGTTTTTCCTTGTTGAAGGGTATCAATATCTGGTAAATACGGGAAACCCCATTCTTCTCAAATCCTTGCTTGTTCGTTCTTTCGCTCAACCACAAACTACCGCTTCTTCCCTCGACCGCGCCGCGTCGAGTATTGACCGGAGGGTCTGCGCGCGCGGCGGCATGGCCCCTTGCTTCCCCCTCGCTCTTCCTTTTGCGTGCGTGCCGGCAAGGTTTTGGGATGCGCTGGGACAGTTCCATCTCCCTCTCGCAAACTTCTCTCTCTTTGCCCGCTCTGCTTTCCCAGTGCTGCCAACAATGAGAAACTTCAAAATATTCGGCCAGTCAACATACTTGTGCACCCATTTGACGGCACAGTTTAACGGACCACCCTTTTGCAATAATCCGTGTTTACAATTCATCAGGTAGTTTTATAGCGGTATTATTAGAGATTTGCACGGTTAGAATTTCAACCGGGTTGTTTATTCTGGGTTTTTCATTCACTCCAGGCTAAAGACGAGTAGAAGGCTTTTGTCTACATGGGCCACGAGTCCCTCCTCCCAGATACTTATTTCTTACAATCCATGATTATATTCTCATCTCACTCTGCTTCGTATAATCGCAGTCGGTACAGCGACTGGCTACAGGCTCGACGACCTTAGGGTCGGAGTTCGAGTCCTGGTAGGGGGAAGATTTTTCTCTTCTTCGTGTCGTTACGGCCGGTTCCGAGGCCCACAAAGCTTCCTATCCAATGGGTATCGAGGGCTCTTTCCCCGGGGCTAAAGCGGCCGGGGTGTGAATGTGACCTCCAACTAGTGCCGAGGTCAAGAATACGCGGATCCATATATCTACTCCCCTTCCGTCTAATAGCGCAGTGTTTAATTAATTAATTAATTAAGCATAAAATAACTTTACCTTATGAGTTGAAACAACGTCCTTTAACAACTTACACCCCAAATCTAGGTTTTCCAGCACATGTCACTGTTAGAATAATATTTATTAAACCAGCATACGTTTTTTTGCTGACAGGTTACTGTAATAGGAGCGCCTGTTAACGCTTTGGCCAGACAAATACACACGACAAAACTAAGCTTTTACTGGTAGGATCCCACTGCACTGTTGAGGAAAACACACCAAGACAAAAAGTTAGGACTTCCGTCAGGATGACAGGCCACGCTTCACAGTATTAATAGAGCAGAAATGTTGTATATAATCTTAATCTTAATTTGTCCGACGATAATTAGTATTTCCTGCTACACTTCTTGTAATTTCATACTCATCTCTGAGCCTACCATATGAATCTTGACCGCTGTGGAAATTTTGTACCATTTAAAGTCACGCTTCCTTCCGTCCCTCACAAATCGGGATCACAAGTTGACCATAGGCAGCGTGTTACATTCAGAACTGGCTTTCAGATGGTGTATTGATTAGACCACTGAATCTCTCCCCAAGAACTTGGTTTTGATTCTGTCTTGGCCCATGTGAGATTAAATGATAGAAAGCAATTTTCTTGGAATTCACGCATTTGCTTCTACATTGTTCCGGTATTGTTCAGTAACTTTATTTTTCCTCTTGCTCCCATTTTGGAGCATAGGGCTGGTTTCTCAGTTTCATTCATTAGTGTTTACAGACGGCAGGACTCCTTGGACGAGTGATCAGCTCGTCTCAAGGCCGCTACCGTGACCGTCTATTCAGTAACTACCGATCTAATAATCAGTCATCAGAACAGTCATCACTCCACTCGTTCCTGATCATCTCGATCCAGCTAATTTGTTATTAGACTTTTTAGGACTTCCTTGTTGATTCTGAAAGCGAAGATTCTTTATTGCCGTCACAACACATCTGTCATTCTGCGTTATCTCAAGATACTTCAATCTAGGTGAGACTCTCAGAACAAATGTCCCCAAGATCTATATTAACATGATCTCTTCATCTATATCTGTCTTCAACTTGACCTTTCTTCTTGACCTTGACATCCGGATCCATCTTACTCAGGATAGAAGCAGTAGCGAACTCTTGCCTTGTGAAAATAGTAACGAATCTCTGGGTTCCATAAAACGCTGGGAACATCCTGAGTGCCTTCTGAAGGACTCTGCTGGAATTACAGAACAACATTTCGCACACACTTATTGTTACCTCTTGTGTGCGACATATTCTGCAATGCCACAAATCGTATTCAGACAGATATGCATGTTATTTACAGCTTCTTTATTATAACCGTCACAACACAACTAATATCAAGATCAGGGCCTAGTTTTGGCTCTGCTAAATGTTTCGGCTATTAATAGCCATCATAAGGCAAATACATGGTTAATATATTACTTTGTGGTTTCGGTTAAAAATAAGATTAAATATAATTTTTACCAGTTTCCCCTTAAGATCGTGTTATGTCACAAGACTGCTTGTTAGCTTGCTCGAACTGCTTCCACAGTAGTATTTCTTCTTCTTCTTCTTCCTCTTCTTCTCCTCCTCCTTTGTAGGACTATGGTTTCACAAAACAAAAAGTTAAACACTCTCCTTTCTTCCATCAAATTTCCCCTTCGATTTTTAGCTAGCCCTCCTTCTGCTTACGACTTGCAATATCTAGATAACCATCTTTAAGATAAGCTTTAATTTTAACATCCTTCTCTATATTTTGTTCTATAAATTTATTTTACATAGCCAAGTAATTTCATCGTTTCTCTCATAGCTATGTTATCAAGTTCTGAGTTCCAATTTCTTATTGAAAAACAAAAACATTCATATCTATCTCTTCTTATTTCCCGCTCTGTGCTTCTCCAAAAATTTTAATATCAACTGATTGGAATATGCTTTTGCTTCTCTTTGTAAGCGTCTATATATCGGGCTTACGCTGTATATTATTATCAGTACTGGCCGCGCCATAGCTCAAGCGGCTATTCGCTGGCTTCCCACCGCGGCAGCCCGGGTTCGATCCCGGGTCTGGTCAAGTTGGATTTGTGGTGGACAAAGTGGCGCTGGGGCAAGTTTCCTTCGAGTACTTCGGTTTCCCTTGCCAATCTTCATTCCACCAATTGCTCCACGATCACCTTCACCTATCATCTGGGGCTGGTACAATAGGCCAGAAGTGGCCGCAGTACAAGGGGCTTAGTCCCACCCCACTAGCAATAAAAATTTTATCAGTTTTGGAGTATTTTTCAAAGTGTTCTTTTGTGTTGTTTTGGGATCTATTTGACTTCGCAAATAAATAAATGCATCCACCTGTGTAATCATCGGTTCGTTAGCCTACTCTGAATTTCGTACCTAGGTTTTTTACAATCGTCATGGAAACCAAGTTTTACATATTTATTTTTAGCCCGTAATCCTTTATAATAAGGTTCAATTTATTTGGTTTCTCTTACATTTTCTTTTATTTGCTCTCCAGATCAACAAATCCTGCGAAAATTAATAAAAGCAATTTGAATGACAAATTGTGCACAGCCAATCCAAAGATTTAGGCGTACTTTCCAGTCTGAAATCTAATAATTCAACATTAAAATCTTGTACCAATGAATCTCAACAGATGCATAGACATTACTCTCGTTCCACTATCAACATTGATAGCTATCGCCCTGCTTTCACCTCGCTGCTTACACCCCCCCCCCTTCCACACTTAGCATAAGCTTTGTGCCATAGGGCAGTAATTCCGCGAGGACTGCTTCCGCTAATCCTGTTAGAATAATAATCGCCCGTGGATGACAGTACACAGCAACTATTCTATGTAGCATTTCGTCGTAACATCTGGTTCTTTGACACTATGATGAACCAGATGTGAGTCATCACTCCATGTTGTCACACTCTTGTTAAGCATCACGGCGCACAGCAGATGGAGAGCAGCCACAGGTGCTACACCCTATCCACAACACAATTTAACGTCATCTTCCTTGTACAGATACCGACAATCAAAGCACCAAGCAAGTAATCTTCTGAGTTTTGCCTCAGGGCTGCAGTACATACAGAATTTCCATGTTATTATTACATAACCTTTTTCTTCCACTGGCTCTACAGCCCCCTTGGGCCATGGCCACTGATTTACAGTTTCATGATCATTTTACAGACGATAGGACTCCTTGGACGAGTGGTCAGCTCGCCGCAAGGCCTTTACCTAAACACAGGACAACATAAACACAGAATAAACGCATACACATACCAAACATCCATGCCTTGTTTGGGATTCGAACCCACGATCCCGGCTTCAGAGCGAGCGAAGACGGTTCATGCCTTAGACCGCTCGGCTACCGTTACCGGCTGATTACACAGCCTACTGGCAGATAAAATAAATTAATAAACAAATAAGCTAAGAACTCAAACATGGGAGCACATAATCATTATCATACTCAGTTATCCTTAGTGAACTGTTTAATTATTTTCATCTGAGGAAGTCATGATAATAGCAATAGCAGTAAAAATGATAATTCAATTCAATTCAGTTCAGTTCAGTACTTGTTCATGTACACGCAAACTTAATAGGTAAAATGCCAATTGCAAAGTGAGCACGAGTAAAGAAAATAAATAAAACAAAAATGAAGTCAATTTATATAATTCGAATAATAATAAATATAATAATAATTCCAATAACACAAATCAAAATTATCATTGAGTTGAGAGAAAAGTAAAATATACATGTTTATTAAGAATGTCGTCTTCTGGGATGTGAGGCCGTGAAGATCTTGTGTGAACCGACGTTTCGGAGGAATGTATCGCCGCCATCTTAAGGGTAGAAAAATCCGCGAGCGAGAAACCAGTGTTAATAGGTGGTTGCAGGCTACATTTTTTGTGTGTATGGTGTCCAAATTTGGGCTTTTGTTTCAGCGACGCTCAGCCTTCTGATTACTTTACGAGTCTGTACGAAGCTTACTGCTAAAATATAAGTAGCCTATAATGCAGAAAATATTGCCCTGTCTCCACCACTTGGGATATTCGCATTAAGAGATGATGATGTTTGAAAACTCGACGACTATTAACGCACCAAATCTCGTCGAAATCTGATCATTATTACCAGAGGCAAACATGCAGACAGACGAGGCTTCCTAACTACGCCTTCATTTTACTCGCACTTTACGGCAAACTCATAACATAAACGGGATGAAGAAGCGTGGAAATTAATTACAACCCTGAACAAGGCTACGACCTGACAATACATTTAAGTGTCAAGCAGACATGTTCTCAATAGCTTTC